CGCCATTTTAGCAAGGGTGAATGTTCCGTGGTCAGGCTGGTATGTATGCTTTGCTTAATATGTTAAAGAGGAATTTTGTTATTTCTTTGTTCATAGTACTATCATAAATTGTTTTGGAGTTGGTAAAAAATAGTTCTTAATCAGATTTGATCGAGTGCTAATAAATAATCAAAATTGCAGTTTTAGCAAACCTATAATTAAATTGTTTAGATTTAGACACAGGTAAGTCTTACGTGCAAACAAAGTCCGTAATAGTATCAACTACACATTATCAGTTTAAATTGAATTATCTTAATAACCACGAACCTTTAACTTCGAACAAGTAGGACACTCACAGAATATTACTAATATTTATTACATAATTATTAAATCTGACTACTAAACTGTAGAGCGCCTACCAAAGAAAACCCACATATGAATACATACCAGGTACCCATATAAATAGCGTGGCAGGAACGTAGACAATCCACCACAAGATCAAATGCACTCTACATTTTCAGTAGGCACATGCCACAAGAATTAGTACAGCTTTGCACAACGGAAATGCAAACCTCGTAGCACGGTCTACGCCGTAGCGAGCGTAGCACGTACTACGCGCCGCGTAGCATAGCATTCAACGTAACACGAAGGCCCATTGACGCGTTAACAGACGGCTAGTGGGAACGCCAATCCTTCCTATAGGTTATATTATAGTTTTACCGTAGGAGGAATCGGTAGATTGTGTTACGGTCTACACGGTACTAAAACAACATCTCGTGTTAGTTACACACCCCATTTATAATTCTAGATGGATTTACATGTTTTTTGATTTTGTTGGATTCTAAGTTGAGTGTACTTAAATTATTATACTTTCCTGTTTGTTAGTAATAAAATAATATAATATTATTAAACAGATCTAAACATTATACACCCCTGAAAAAAGTCATTGTACAAAATATAAACTCTCATATTAGTTACGTATAACAATAAAAGAAATAAAACACAGGGTTCATCGAAGTGTTTATTAAGTCATTAAATAAAAGATCATTTCTTAATAGAATAGATTTATTTCATAGATAAAGTATACTACTTACATAAAAAGTTGTCCAAAATATAGTACATAATTATATTTATTAACCACTAGGTTCACGTATAAATCCTTCATTGTCAACTCAACATGGCGACTAGGGGCCGTATTACAACCTTTTTAAAATCCAGTCAGTTTCTATGCAATTCAGTTTACGGCGGTAAACTGCCTTGTTCTTTTTCGTATTCAAAGACACCGTACCGAAATAAATAATATAATTATTAATACACAAACTTAAATACTCATAAATACATAAACTTGAGACTATGTAATGGCTAAATCAGATAGGTAGTGAAATAAAATCAACTTAAGGCCACTACACACATGCCGGCGGCAATGCCGCCGGGTTCATGCTGAGCGGATATGCCGTCGGGTTCATGCCGAGCGGCTATGCCGCCAGCAAGCACAAGCCGCACAACGCCGTCAAGAATCATTCCGGTTGTGACAGTCACATAGAACGAACTTCACTTCACTTGAGTGAAAATGTTTTACTTGCCGGCGGCTCCTTTGTGCGGCAAAGCGGCTTTGTATGCCGCCGGGTGCACGGCGGCTTGGCCGGCGGCTTACCCGGCGGCCCAGCCGCCGGCACTGTGTGTAGGAGCCTTTACAAACTCTTAAAGTTACTACCTTTCTTTCTATAGATAGATCCGATGCTGAAAGGGCAGACTATGTGAGGTCGCAACTCATCGCACAAATTGTGCACTAATTGCTTAGTTAGCCTGTGTTGCCTTATAAACTCGCCTTCATCAATGGCAAATGTGTCGCAAAATATCCTTACTACTTTTGCTTCGTAGGCGTCTTGTGCTTCGCTCTCCAGAATTTATAGCATCACAATTATATTATAGTTGTAACACATTTTTCTAGTTTTTTATTCAACTAAAATCTGTAGCTGGCAAGAATGTTTGTACCAAGTATGTTTAATTTAACATGAATGCTTATACAATTTGGTAGTTGTGTGTAACATTTAGTGAATTGTTTTGACTTAATCGTCTATTTATATAAAAATGAAACCCGTTTCCCGTTGTCACGCCATAACTTGAGAACGGCTTGACCGATTTGGCTGATTTTTTTTTTGTTGTGTTTATTATTGTCAGGAGAAGGTTCTTATGACAGAAAATAGTCCTGAAAATCCTACGGGAACGGTAGAAAACTGGATTGTGCGTACGAAGTCGCGGGCAGAAGCTAGTATTATTATAATTTAAGATAGCGATAGCGGATTATTTTCAAAAGTTTCTAGTCGACAGTTAGTATTAAATTAAAATAAAAAGTCAAAACAATTCAGTAAAACTTACTAGAAACAGGCGCAAACTAAATGGTTGCTTCGACACAATTTTTGACACCTAAACAAGTTATGAGATGTCAGTTATGCTGAAATACTGAAACGTTACTCAATTTTAGGTCGTGCTTAATTATCGTGCTTAAATGTCATTTCACAAAGAATTAGTGGTGACAGAACTATACTTATGCGCGACTTAAAATTGAGTAGCATTTCAGTATTCCGACATTTGACGGTCATAATACGAATTTCCCAGCCAGCGATCGTGACAGCCATCCAGAAATCGGTCAAGTGTCACATGATTCCTGACTGGCTGTCAATAAGACCACATAATACGGATAAGCAAGGCATTTTTTTTTAAATCGTTGCCCCACACCAAAAATGGTGCGTTTGCAAACAAGCAATTTCACAAACACATCAAACCCAGACCCGGAACAACAATCTGTGGATCACACAAAGAGTTGTTCCGTGCGGGAATCGAAACCGCGACACGTTGTCTTTTTAAAACATTTTAAGACAAGATTAACAGTTCATTTAAGACGTAAATTGACTTGAATCTAAAGGTTGTAATAGTGCTCCAGGTCGTGTCTTACGTAGTACTTACCTTTGTTTTATAAATCCACCTCCACACGCACACACACACGAGAATTGGGGACACAAAGACAAATCACATAACTTTAAATCGTTATTAACTCTGATTTAAACACATAGGAACATCATAGTATTTTATATCACTTTCACAATAAAATAAAATCTATTTCAATAATAACTCACTGAGAATAAATAGACAAATAATTCTGTACCTTTTTTATATTATTGTTTGGATTTCAAGTCGTTTTGATTAGTATTTTACAAGAAGTAATGACCACATCGACCAAATTTTTGCAATTATAAATTCTGTAATGCAACGCAAGTAGAAGGTTTCTATAAGTTGAGTAATATTATCAATGTTTGGGCTTCGTTCGTGTTTCGGTAAATAGTGCCAGTAGAACGTGTTTACATTCCGTAATAACTTTTGCAACTGTGGTACTAGGGCCGAAAATTAATTAAATGCAACAATTTCAGATATTATTATTAGTCAAAATGTAAATGGGACTGTTGTGTTTAATTTCATTGATTATCATCGTATTTTAAACTTGCTTAGGCACAAATAAACCGGTTTGTGATTTGTGTAGTCATAAAGATAACAAAACTAATGCATCTTTGAATCACACTCCGCCTTAAAGTTTTACTAAAGCATACATGTCATGCATTTATAGACTTTGAGATTGAGATTGACTGCCTCGTTGGCCGAGTGGTCGCAATTGCGACTGCCGGGTAAGGGTTTTAAAAAAATCTCAGTAGTAGCACGGAGTCTGAAACTGTGCCCGGTATATGGCAATAGGCTCACTCCCTATTACATGGGACTCATAGCATAAATAGTGAAAAGTGGGTGTTACATTTGTACAGTGGTATAATGTGCACCTCTGCCTACCCCTTCGAGGATAAAAGGCGTGATGTTATGATGTTACATTTATAAACATGTAACCGACTTAACACTTCTTCCGAAGGAATACAGAAAACGAACTGAAACTTGAAAAGTTTATTTCATAAATAAGTTAGAAAGAAGAATTATTTCCATTCCATTCCAGTGTTACTGGCAGTTCGCGAGCGGTTGTAATATGAAATAGTGCTGGCAGACGTATGCTTATTGATGACGCGGGCAGCGTCTGTGGCCAGTCTTAGGCAGACGTGTTCGATATGGACACCACATAGTTTACTGTTTCAAATATAATGACAACGGTAATATGATAAAATTATTTCCTAACTAATTCAATTTGGAACTACTAAACGCAGCATTTTTTTTTTGTAGCATAAGCCGGTAAACGACCTGACGGATCACCTGGTGGTAAGCAATCGGCGCCGCCCATGGACACTCGAAACACCAAGGCGTTACAAGTGCATTACCGGCCTTTTGGGAATTGGGTTTTTGAGGATTGTGGAGGATTCGGGGATTCGGGAGACGGGGTTTAGGGAGGGGCGTAATTGGGCCTCCGGTAACCTCACTCACACGACGACACGCTTTTCCACACTTAAAGCATTAATTTGATTTCAATAATAATCCGTGACATCGCTTTTAAAGTGGCACTAGGGACACTCAACACTTTCAGTTGGGAAACTATCCACATGCACATTACAGGCAACACCGTAGTCACATCAAAAACACAATTCGTGAAAAGCCCTTCCTTTCTTTTAAATAATCTATTTTAGCAGAGAACACAAGTATTCTCAGTTTCTAATCATGACATTCACACTCGCACGAACATGTTGTGAATTACCACTTGCCAAATGCCACTAGGCATTAAGTCCGCCATTGTATACCCATTGTGCAAGAAGTGTAAATAAAAAAGAAAAAAATTACATATACGTCTCAATGTCGCTTTTGAAACCACCGCTATCTCCCGCCTGTGGGAACTTCTTCACGAGGTGCTCTGCTTCGGCACGAGCGGAGTGATACTATGGCCTAATAAAATCGGCATGAAACCACGCTTAGGTTATGTTTCGCCATTGTTACTCCCCCGGTGTTGCATGCATCCATGGTCGACGCCCATTACTTACCATCAAGTGATTCATTTATTCGTTTGCCGCCCAAACTAATATTTAAAAGAATCGACTTACCGATGTTTTCGTGGTTCAGCTTGCGAAGGTGTTTGATATTGCAATCATTTTTGTCGCGAAGCTGTTTCACGGCTACCAGTTCGCCGCGGTATTGGCCGCCGAACACGATGCCTTGGGCTCCAGCGCCCAAGTACACCAGATCCGACAACTTATCGTAGGAAATGTCCCAGTCCTCTTCTGTAGACAAGGACAAAAAATAATATTTAGTTGATTTTGTTTTTTAAACAAAACTTTACTCACATTAGACTACAAAAACACATACAAATCACACTGAGAACTGAAACCAATCATGAATGGTTAATGAGGGCTACTGTTTGTTTTTAGCTTTAATGAAGCGTGAGGACTGTTAATGTAAAACATCAATTTTTTGGCAGCAACGCAACTTTACATGAACACTATCTGATGTGCATAAATTGTAACCCTCATTCTGTTCTGCTGCACGAGAATCGAATATGAGACACATTGCGAAAGACCAAGTCGCTTAGCTATCTAGTTGTTACGCATAATTATAACTTAGTACGGGCCGAATACCGTTGGTTTAGTCAATGAAAAAACGATCGATAGCGCTACGGATTCCCATTGAGTCAGGGTCTGACGTCACACTCGAGTATTAGCGCGCAAAGGTACAATGTTTACACGCAGTGACATCTGGTCAAACGTCGCGCACGTTTCTTCAGGGTGATCGGCCGTGTGACGTGCGTACCATACATAATACAAGAGTCTTCGATAGAAGAAGAAATAGAAACCGGATCGTTATAATCGAAAAAGAATTATTTTCTTATAGAACGAAAGTACTGTTGCTCATATAATTATGAGAAAAGACGTTATAAACTTATCATGACACTATTTATTTTTTGAAGGGATAGGCTCTCCGTCCATTCCTACCCACATCTATGTAACATTCAGGTTTCTACCTCTATATTAAACAGAAAATTTTAAACCGCATTCATTCCTTCACTAATGAATAGCAGAATTGATATGGGTTCAATGTAGGAGAGAGAGAGAACAAAGCAGCCACATTGTACAGCTTCGTATTAAATACCGATGCAATATAGCCCACCATTCCGAAATCCACGAATTGTTATTTTGGTGTTACAATGGTATTTTGATCATAGTGGTTTCATTGCAGAGCGTACACGACTTCATTATTGCGTACCTTTCCAGCATATCAAAGGTAATAATGCGTACTATGCTCCATGCAATAATAGTAGCATATTCGGATATATCGGCCACCGACAACAACAATAATGCGAGGCCCAAAGGATTTTCGGGTAGCAATGAGAAGGATTTATTAATTTCACGATGTTCACATTGCACTGCACGCTAAAATGTTTTGATGAAATTCTTTCATCGTTGTAATTTAATTAACTGACTGCATGGTACGCAACGGCCTATTATTATTCGTCTCAGTTTATTTAATACCTGAATACACACCGCTCAATTTAAAAATAAAGTAAGTCTTAAATAAAAAAAGTGTAGTCTTTAAGACATAAGTACGCCATAAGATTCAAGCATGTCTTGCGCAACTTCCTTAAGCTCAATTAAAGACAAGATTCCAACTGAGTTTTGACGATACTTTGTAACTTTTTAAAGACTCAAGCAAGACATCACTATTATAGAAAGCTAAAGAATTGGTAACTTCTCAAGACAAGTTGCCTAGTTCTTGTCTTCGGGACAAGTTGCCTAGTTCTTGTCTTCGGGACAAGTTGCCTAGTTCTTGTCTTCGGGACAAGATGCCTTGTTCTTGTCTTCGGGACAAGATGCCTTGTTCTTGTCTTCGGGACAAGATGCCTTGTTCTTGTCTTCGGGACAAGATGCCTTGTTCTTGTCTTCGGGACAAGATGCCTTGTTCTAGTCTTCGGGACAAGATGCCTTGTTCTTGTCTTCGGGACAAGTTGCCTAGTTCTTGTCTTCGGGACAAGATGCCAAGTTCTTGTCATCCGGACAAGATGCCTAGTTCTTGTCTTCGGGACAAGATGCCAAGTTCTTGTCTTCGGGACAAGATGCCAAGTTCTTGTCATCCGGACAAGATGCCTTGTTCTTGTCTTCGGGACAAGTTGCCTAGTTCTTGTCTTCGGGACAAGTTGCCTAATTCTTGTCTTCGGGACAAGTTGCCTAGTTCTTGTCTTCGGGACAAGTTGCCTAGTTCTTGTCTTCGGGACAAGTTGCCAAGTTCTTGTCTTCGGGACAAGTTGCCTAGTTCTTGTCTTCGGGACAAGTTGCCTAATTCTTGTCTTCGGGACAAGATGCCTTGTTCTTGTCTTCGGGACAAGTTGCCTAATTCTTGTCTTCGGGACAAGATGCCTTGTTCTTGTCTTCGGGACAAGTTGCCTAGTTCTTGTCTTCGGGACAAGTTGCCTAATTCTTGTCTTCGGGACAAGTTGCCTAGTTCTTGTCTTCGGGACAAGTTGCCTAGTTCTTGTCTTCGGGACAAGTTGCCAAGTTCTTGTCTTCGGGACAAGTTGCCTAGTTTGTCTTCGGGACAAGTTGCCAAGTTCTTGTCTTCGGGACAAGATGCCTAATTCTTGTCTTCGGGACAAGATGCCTTGTTCTTGTCTTCGGGACAAGTTGCTAGTTCTTGTCTTCGGGACAAGTTGCCAAGTTCTTGTCTTCGGGACAAGTTGCCTAGTTCTTGTCTTCGGGACAAGTTGCCTAATTCTTGTCTTCGGGACAAGATGCCTTGTTCTTGTCTTCAGGACAAGTTGCCTAGTTCTTGTCTTCGGGACAAGATGCCTTGTTCTTGTCTTCAGGACAAGTTGCCAAGTTCTTGTCTTCGGGACAAGATGCCTTGTTCTTGTCTTCGGGACAAGATGCCTTGTTCTTGTCTTCGGGACAAGATGCCTTGTTCTTGTCTTCAGGACAAGTTGCCTAGTTCTTGTCTTCGGGACAAGTTGCCTAGTTCTTGTCTTCGGGACAAGTTGCCTAGTTCTTGTCTTCGGGACAAGTTGCCAAGTTCTTGTCTTCGGGACAAGTTGCCTAGTTCTTGTCTTCGGGACAAGTTGCCAAGTTCTTGTCTTCGGGACAAGATGCCTAATTCTTGTCTTCGGGACAAGATGCCTTGTTCTTGTCTTCGGGACAAGTTGCCTAGTTCTTGTCTTCGGGACAAGTTGCCAAGTTCTTGTCTTCGGGACAAGTTGCCTAGTTCTTGTCTTCGGGACAAGTTGCCTAATTCTTGTCTTCGGGACAAGATGCCTTGTTCTTGTCTTCAGGACAAGTTGCCTAGTTCTTGTCTTCGGGACAAGATGCCTTGTTCTTGTCTTCGGGACAAGATGCCTTGTTTTGTCTTCGGGACAAGATGCCTTGTTCTTGTCTTCGGGACAAGATGCCTTGTTCTTGTCTTCGGGACAAGATGCCTAGTTCTTGTCTTCGGGACAAGTTGCCTAGTTCTTGTCTTCGGGACAAGATGCCTTGTTCTTGTCTTCGGGACAAGATGCCTTGTTCTTGTCTTCGGGACAAGATGCCTTGTTCTTGTCTTCGGGACAAGATGCCTTGTTCTTGTCTTCGGGACAAGATGCCTTGTTCTAGTCTTCGGGACAAGATGCCTTGTTCTTGTCTTCGGGACAAGTTGCCTAGTTCTTGTCTTCGGGACAAGATGCCAAGTTCTTGTCATCCGGACAAGATGCCTAGTTCTTGTCTTCGGGACAAGATGCCAAGTTCTTGTCTTCGGGACAAGGAGCCTAGTTCTTGTCTTCGGGACAAGATGCCAAGTTCTTGTCATCCGGACAAGATGCCTAGTTCTTGTCTTCGGGACAAGATGCCTTGTTCTTGTCTTCGGGACAAGATGCCTATTCTTGTCTTCGGGACAAGATGCCTTGTTCTTGTCTTCGGGACAAGATGCCTTGTTCTAGTCTTCGGGACAAGATGCCTTGTTCTTGTCTTCGGGACAAGTTGCCTAGTTCTTGTCTTCGGGACAAGATGCCAAGTTCTTGTCATCCGGACAAGATGCCTAGTTCTTGTCTTCGGGACAAGATGCCAAGTTCTTGTCTTCGGGACAAGGAGCCTAGTTCTTGTCTTCGGGACAAGATGCCAAGTTCTTGTCATCCGGACAAGATGCCTAGTTCTTGTCTTCGGGACAAGTTGCCTAGTTCTTGTCTTCGGGACAAGTTGCCAAGTTCTTGTCTTCGGGACAAGTTGCCAAGTTCTTGTCTTCGGGACAAGTTGCCAAGTTCTTGTCTTCGGGACAAGTTGCCAAGTTCTTGTCTTCAGGACAAGTTGCCAAGTTCTTGTCTTCGGGACAAGATGCCTTGTTCTTGTCTTCGGGACAAGATGCCTTGTTCTTGTCTTCGGGACAAGATGCCTTGTTCTTGTCTTCAGGACAAGTTGCCTAGTTCTTGTCTTCGGGACAAGTTGCCTAGTTCTTGTCTTCGGGACAAGTTGCCTAGTTCTTGTCTTCGGGACAAGTTGCCAAGTTCTTGTCTTCGGGACAAGTTGCCTAGTTCTTGTCTTCGGGACAAGTTGCCAAGTTCTTGTCTTCGGGACAAGATGCCTAATTCTTGTCTTCGGGACAAGATGCCTTGTTCTTGTCTTCGGGACAAGTTGCCTAGTTCTTGTCTTCGGGACAAGTTGCCAAGTTCTTGTCTTCGGGACAAGTTGCCTAGTTCTTGTCTTCGGGACAAGTTGCCTAATTCTTGTCTTCGGGACAAGATGCCTAGTTCTTGTCTTCGGGACAAGTTGCCTAATTCTTGTCTTCGGGACAAGTTGCCTAGTTCTTGTCTTCGGGACAAGATGCCTAATTCTTGTCTTCGGGACAAGATGCCTTGTTCTTGTCTTCGGGACAAGTTGCCTAGTTCTTGTCTTCGGGACAAGTTGCCAAGTTCTTGTCTTCGGGACAAGTTGCCTAGTTCTTGTCTTCGGGACAAGTTGCCTAATTCTTGTCTTCGGGACAAGATGCCTTGTTCTTGTCTTCAGGACAAGTTGCCTAGTTCTTGTCTTCGGGACAAGATGCCTTGTTCTTGTCTTCGGGACAAGATGCCTTGTTCTTGTCTTCGGGACAAGATGCCTTGTTCTTGTCTTCGGGACAAGATGCCTTGTTCTTGTCTTCGGGACAAGATGCCTTGTTCTTGTCTTCGGGACAAGATGCCTAGTTCTTGTCTTCGGGACAAGTTGCCTAGTTCTTGTCTTCGGGACAAGATGCCAAGTTCTTGTCATCCGGACAAGATGCCTTGTTCTTGTCTTCG